CCCTGCATACCTCTCCGCATACCTCTCGGGCCTCATCTCTTTCCACTCAGTCCTGCCAACACCCTACCCTCCAGCCAGAGGGAAATACTTGTAGCTCTCCCAATGCTGCATACTCTTCTCTCACTGCTTCCTTGCCTATGTGTGCATTTGTCCTACATTCTACCTGCCCCTCCCCTCTCAGACCTACTACTGCTTAATTCAACTGGTCCTTCAAATCTTATCACCTTCTCTACAAGACTGTCTCTGATCCCAGCCACGGTACCCTGTCTGTGCCTCTTCCAAAGAAAGTGCTGCCCCACTTGGCTCCTCCACTCGACTGTGCTGTGCCTAGTACCTGGAATACGGCAGGTATTCCATGTTTACTGGCACCTTACTAGAGACTTATATAACATGCAGTACTGCTGAAGGGCTAATGTTTAGATGACTAGCTCAATGAGGGTAGAAAGTAAACATAATTTAAATTCTTAATCCAGAAGACCAGTATCCTTTAACTTACGCAAGATGCATGTCTTTCCAATTAGCTACATGACTTGCCCTTGCGAAAAAGAATAAAACGCAACTTTTGAGATGCAAGGAAATTAGAAAGGCTGCCAACTCTTTATAATAAATACCAGTCCAATTCCATTTATGTACCATCTGTCTTCCCCTAGGACTGGGTTAGCTCATTACCAACAAGATGGACTAGGTCATATCTTTTTTGTGTGTCTAAACAACAAGTGAATATAAAGCTTCAAACTATCAGAAATTTGAGCCTGAGTCCATTAACCAGCTTTTAAGAAAGCTCTGATTTTAAACTTTTTCCCTTCTCCCTTTTCTTTTTCCTCCTCTAAATTCTACCCCATGCTTGCACAGTAATAATTAACCAGTACCAGATATCTGAAGACTGTAACCTCTGATAACATCACTGATGCACAAGTCTAAGTTGTTTTCAGAACAAGATGACCTTTGCAGGCTCCACGTCCAGACCACCAGGTCACAGACCACCGGGCAGGAGGCACATAGACCACAGACAGCCTGGCTCCTGGAACTATGATTAAGAGATGTCACAAGAGCATGATTAACCACCAGCTTCCCCTCTCTTTCCCCTTTAAAAACTCCTAACTAAGGAATTCCCTGGACGTTCAGTGGTTAGGGCTCCATGCTCTGAAGTTGAGAGGACGGGTTCAATCCCTGGTCAGGGAACTAAGATCCCACAGGCCGTGCGGCTCAGCCAAAAAACCCCCCAAAACAAAAAACAACAAAAACAGAAACAAAACAAAGAACCAACTCTTAACTAAAAGACCAAGTTGGAGTGGATCCGAGACTTGTCTCCCACTTCCTTGCTTGGCACCTTGCAATAAAATCCTTACTCTGCTGCAAACACCTTACTTTGCTGTGCCCTGGGCACGTGAGCCCTTTTCCCCTTTTCTACTTGAGCAAACTGCTGATCTGATTTCGGGGGGGAGTAAGGATTACAAACTACTGTACGCTATTTGTCCCTTGAGATGTGCTTAAGACAAGGATGCAATTTAGAGTTTGAATCAACATTAACTCAATTCTACATTTTCATTTCTCCCAAAGGCAGCATATTTTTAAAGAAGCATTTCCTCAACGGAATGTAAGTTACATTTTTTGAATTGTCCTTTTTTTGAGGATGTAACTCCTTGGGAGAACAGGTAAAGGGACAATTTTATATCAGATACACCATATTAACTAAAAGCAAAAAGCAGTGTATTTACAGAATATTTGAGGTGTTTCTCAAAGTCAGTCTTCCCCTGAAGGACACAACAGAACTTGATATTGAGTGTTCTGAAAATACAAAGGAGACAATGACCTCACATGTACTGACAATTAAGAAAAAAATTCTAGCATGATGGCAAAATTCTTTTGTGGTATTGGAGGAAAGGGATCACCAAAAGCCTCTACTTTCAAGGATTAGAACTGCCTCTAAATTATATAAAGTTTAAATGCTCACTTTTAGAATTAGTCGACCCCATTTGCTAGTCTTGCCATCCTGGTGTTTCATTTTTTTGCAAGGGGTTGTGTATGTGTAATTTAACACTCATTACCATATATCAGTTGAGAGACAGGGTAACCTGAAGCTAAGACTTTTACATATGCAACCGGGTACGTCTGAAAGACGCTGTATACTTAGTTGGTTTCCCAGTGATATGGACACTATGCTTCATCCCCTCCTTCTAAAATGCACATTTACAAGACACTTTGTGAAATTCGCAAAGGGAATCAAATTCAAGAGAACCTTCAAATATAAGCCCAAAACAAACATATTAAAAATGAAAGTTAATGCCCAACTCCCAAATTTTCCATAGGTCCCCAAGCGGGAGACAGCAAAATGTTAAAGAATCCAGCTTTGGAGTCAGGTCAAAATCCCAGCTTCCCAATTACTATATGTGTGCCGTGAGCAAGAGAGGTTACTCCCTAAACCCCAGTTTCCTTATTTACTAAAGGAAGGTAATACCTCTACGGGTTATTTCAATTAAATAAAAGCTATATAAGGGAACTTGCATTTTGGCAGTACTGCTCATGATGTCAATGAAACAAGGTTTGGGTTCTATTTCTGTACCTAGCACTTATAAAGGGTTTTAGTAAAGTACAGTACAAATACTGGACGAGCACCAGAAAGATCTAAGTTAAATCTTACATCTCTGGTGTTTATTCAGCTATAAAATGCAGGAGTGTGCTAGCTGATCTCTAAGCAGCTTACCAGTTCTGAAAAACTAAAGCAATCCTCAATTTCTGAACCCTACCTTCATTTTTGTTTATTTTCTTATTCCCTAACATGAGAAACTCATGTCCCTTTGAAACATGTGAGGAAAAACAAAGAAAGGACAAGATGCTCAAGAAACTTATCATTTGAGTCATATTCAAACTGTAGGCCAAGCTTTTTTGCAGGAAGCAGCATGAGGGGTTCTGAATGATTCACTCACATTCGTGGTTGGCAATAAACGCCCCTACCGGAGACTGTAAATTCTCTGGCACAAAGTCACTGCTAAGCACGCTGTCTAGCACAGAGCAGACACTCCCAAATGTCTGTTGAATGAGTAATACCTAGCTGACACCTGTTGCTCCCTATAAAATCTTTCGATTGCTCTCCTTACTCAAGTCAAAATGCAAGAAAGATGGTCGGCACATAAGAGCTGTACCGAATACCTTCTGAACGAATTAATTCTTCAAATCCTCAATTATGCTAAGTGGGAAACAAAGACCTTGAGAGAAACGCTGAACCACCACCGGGAAAAACTTCAACGCCAAAGTTTCAACATTAAGGAAATGTTAAGGGATCCGTTTCTCGACCTCTTCAAGCGCTGACAAGCACCCTTAAAGTGCGCTTGGGGGAAAAAAACCCAGCTCGTTGTTCTACCCCGGTACACTCGGCTCTCCACGCCCTACTTCCGACACAGAAACCTTCACGGTGGATGTCACTCGAGCCAGCACTGAACAGACACGAACACGGGGAGGACAAAAAGACATCTCCCCACCTTCACAAGGGTCACCATAGAACCACATACTCTGAAAAGACCAAATTAAACACGAACCTAGTGGAACTGGCTATTCGGCTTAAGAAAAACTAATTTCCTATAGCTTATGGAGGTAAACAAAACTCCAAAAACCGAAGTCGAACGGTCCATTTTCCCCCTCCTCTCCCAGGAATGCGCCTACTTCACATATCGCACCCCTCCCTCCTCGACCCCGGCGATCACACTTCGAGACCCTTCCCCGGTGCTCAGATCGTTGGGTGGGCCTCGGGGAGAGAGGCTGCCCGCTGGGCTTTCGGTTGTTACGGTGAGGTCCCCGGGAGACGAGCCTGCCGCGGGCTCTCAGAGTAAAATTGAAAGAGGAAAAAAACCCCAGACTCGCCCACCGTGGCGTATGGCGCAAAGCAGTGGGGGATTCTAGCAGAGTTGAGGGGTCCAGAAATGACTCAATTTCCTCCTCTTGCTCTTCTGCGGAGCCGGGCTTGCCGCCCCAGGTCCGCGCACCCCCTCCCCACATGGTGTGTAGCTCCTCTTCAAAGCACATGAACTTTAAAATGGTGCTTTGGGCGGGGGGAGGGCCGACTGGGAAAGGAAGGATCAAAGGAACTTGGGGCGGGTTAGCAGGCGCGTGAAAAACAGGCCCTGGGGGGCGGGTGTGGCGCCCCGGGTGACGTGCACGTCGCTAAGGGGGTGGTGGGTGGACGGAGGCGCACCGGGCAAAGGTGGAGGGAGAAATGGAACACGGCCCCTTTAAGAGGCCTTCACGGCGCTCAGGGGCCGGGGGCCTCTCCTTCGCCCCCGGTCCGGCGTGCGGGGCCCTTCCTCAGGGAGAACCATCCCCAGACCCGCTCCCCGGAGGGTTCCCTCACGCCAGATCCCGCCCGGCCCAGCCCCGGGGCGGCGGCTCCTCCTTACCCCGCTGTCTGCCGCCTCCTCCCAGCTCTCAGCGACCTCCTCATCTTCCATCTTACTCGTCGCTTTCCCTCCTCCCCCCACCCCCTATCCGCGCCTGCGCCCTGAGTCGCGTCTCGGTCGCGGGCGCCAGCGCGCAAGGCTTTGCTCAATGAACCCCGCCCCGTTCCAAGCCCGGAAGAGGCTTCAGTCCAAGGCCCAAGATCATCCAGGAAGCCATCTTGGGAGAGGGCAGAGAAATCAGAAAGTTGCCATTTTTCTTAAGGGCAACGTGATTTTTCTCTCTCCCTCTCCCCCTCCCCCTCCCCGTCCCCCTCCCCCGCCCTTTCTCTCTCTCTCTCAGTGGGAGTCCCTGGAACCATCTTTTCTAAGGGCAAACAATTACTTTTTTTTAAGTCGTAGTTTTCATAAACTGCATATTTTTATGCTTTTTCAAAATTCTGAAAACATTTTTATACCTCAACAAAGTGAAACAGGAGATAAAACATTGACCAACTTAAACTGGTTTTGACTCCTTAAATAGGTTATTGATTAATCAAATCTTGAGGGGTTTTTATAGAGACATTACTGCGCATGTGCAAGGCCGGAACCCACGTTTCCAGGATGACCCCGGAACCAAGAATCTTCATTCTGGGGAACTCAAACAATAGAAATGCTGCCATCGGACCCCTTAACCAGCTGAAGCAAGCAGTCCTTCAGTAAGGAAAATCCGGCTTCCATCTGCCATAGTACCTTGTTTACCATATATGGACTGCTTTGAAAACTAGCCAATCAGCTTGTGCCAAGTTTGAAATGTCCCTAACCTCTTAAATTTTGCCCCAAACCCTGGCTGGGGGAGACAGATTTGAGCCCTACCTCCTGTCTCCTTGCCGGTCGACCTCGCAATAAAGCTTTTTCTTTTCTCAAAAGCTGGTGCCATAGTATTGGCTTCTGTGCGCGCCAGGCAGTGAGCCCTTGCTCGGTGAGAATTTCTGGCGATCGCAAACGAACTAAGCTCCTGCTGTGATCGCCTGGCTGAGGCACTGTAGCCCCCGGCTGGGTGTAGGCCCTCGTCACCGACCCTGAGTGGCCACCTAGACCCGATTTGTCTAGAGGCTCGGCTGTCGGGTTCCTGCTTCCCGCAGCAGCTGCGCTCCAGGCTCCTCCGCGCTACTTTCACTTTTGGGGAAAGAAACAGCTCCTGGATCTTTTGGGTGAGTAACCTCATTAAAACGCGCTTGTGCCTAAATTGTCTAATAACAATTATTAGACAATAAATGTCTAATCAGGATTGTGGGTTAGAGTCCCACTCTAAGGGAGACAGTATGAAAGGTTCAATCCGTTGTCTGGGAACTAAGATCCCACAAGCCGCACAGCGCGGCCAAAAAAAAAGTTATAACCACCGAGGTACCCAAAAGATCCGGTTAGAATCCCAGGCCTTTGGATTTCTTGGTCTATGTCTGACTGTTTTGTTTGTTAGGAATTGACTAATAGGGTTAACTATTGGATGACCACAGAAAAACTTTATTGAATCTGTTTTATGTCATTTTGCTGTGGTCATCCTGGGAAAAAAATACTTCCAAGATGGGGAATGATAACAGCGTACCAGACGGCACTCCCTTGAAAAGTGTTCTTTGAAGTTGGTCAATGTTTACCTCTAATGATGAAAGAGGTATGAAAAAAAAAGAAAATGATTTTCTTTTGTAACACTGCCTGGCCCAAATATCTACTGGAGTCAGGGGGAAAATGGCCCCCAAATGGGTCTTTGAACTATAATACTATTATACAGTTAGACTCGTTTTGTAAGAGAGAGAAAAAATGGGACGAAATCCCATATGTAGATTCATTTATGTCTTTATATAAGAGGAGAAATATGCATAAGGCATTTATTGATAAAATGATGGGTCAGAGGGAAGAACCTCACAAAAAGCCTGTTTTACCTGAGTCAAAGTCTAATGACGATCTAGTCCCTCCGTCTGCACCTTTTGCAGTAGCCGGACTGTGGGCACTTCCTTCGGTAGCCCCTCCCTCAGCACCTCTTGTGGTTCCCGCGAATCCTGAAGGGGATCTTCCTGCAGGCAGTGCCAAGGCTTTTACCAGTCCTCCTAGGGCTGCTGGTCCGACTCTGTACTCGCCCTTAGCAGATGGTCACAAAGGAATGGTCTACCCTCCCTGTACCCTCCAGGGTATTCAGTTTGGCCCAGGGAACACTCGACTGTAGGCGGGACAATTTCCGTTAAGGCAGGTCCCAGCAGGCTTGGATGACCAACGCCAATCCAGAGCACTTGGAATCATGCATCATCGTTTATCAGTCATAGATTTACTTAATTATAAAGCTAAGATGCCATCTTATCAAGATGATCCTAGGAATATGGAGAATCTCTTTACATATATTTTTGCTGTTTTTCATCCTAACTGGGCTGACATACAGACCCTCATGTGTATCCTACTCAGTCCGGAGGAACGCAGCATGATATTAGAGAAGGCCTTCCAGGAAGCCGAAAGGCTTCATGAATTAAAACCAAATAATCCAGTCAGAACTCCAGCAAAGCAGGCCATCCCTGGAACTGAACCAGAATGGGATCCCAGTGACCCAGGGGATCAAGCAAGGCTGAATCATTATAAAGATTGTATAATAACTGGACTGCAAAAAGGGGCAAACAGCTTCTAGAGGGTCCGGAATGTACAGCCAGGACCTGAGGAGGGCCCATTCACCTTCCTTGAAAGGCTTTATGAGGCTTTCCGAAAATATACTGATAATGATCCAGAACACCCAGATGACATGGGACTGGTCAATTTAAACTTTATCGGTCAGAGTGCCCCTGATATAAGAAAAAAAGTAGAACGACTGGAAGGGGGATCATGGACACCACCGTCTCAGTTGGTCCAGATTGCTTTTGAAGTGTTCAAAGGCCGATACGAAATTTGGGAAAAGCAGGAGCAATGCATCGAGCAATGCATCGTGAGGCAGTTTGCTCTGCTCAGCTGTAACCAGTCAAAACCCAGCAGGACGTCTGCAGGAGAGAACAAACGACCACGGGTAAGACCGTGGGGACCTCCAAAACCCAGCCGGAAAGGCCATCCATCTGTTGGGCCACAACAGTGTGCCTTTTGTAAACAGGAAGGGCACTGGAAAAGGGAGTGTCCCAAAAACAGACAGGGCCCCCTCTCCCCCAAGATAACATCCATTACTGGTGTATCTGGGGAAGTCTCTCAGAAACCTTTTCTACAATGGCTTGAATGTCATGTAGAGAAAACACATGTAAAGTACAGCTTTGTGTATGTGCCTGGATGTCATAGTCCCTCATCAGGGCAAGAGGTACTAACAAATTTAAATGACCAAGTGGGTTTCTCAGCAGAAAAAGTAGACACCAAAGTACTCCCAGGTCAAGACTGCGCCCTCCAAGCTGCGCCATTACAATTGGGAGACAAGCCTCAACCAGATGTCCCTGAAGAAATTCTTCAAAAGGTAAGAGCAGAAGTTTGGGCTGACAGGACACCAGGAAGAGCCAAGACGGCTGACCCAGTAGTAGTAAAACTCCCCCCAGGTGCCCAGGCTCCAAAGTTAAAGCAGTACCCTTTAAAGAGGCACCCAAAGGAAGGTATAAAGCCTCTGATAAACACTTTTCTTAAATGCCAATTAATCCGACCTTGTCAATCCCCGTATAACACTCCCATCCTGCCAGTACAAAAACCTGGGACTGGAGATTATCGTTTTGTACAGGATTTGAGAGCTATCAACCAAATTGTAGAGGATGTACATTCGGTGATGCCAAATCCTTATACTTTGCTTACAACTTTATCTGGAGACTTTTGCTGGTTTACAGTTCTGAACTTAAAAGATGCCTTTTATTGCATACCCCTAAGTCCTGAGTCCCAGGAACTGTTTGCCTTTGAGTGGAATGATCCAGAGACTAATATAAAACAGCAGTAATCCTGGACTGTACTTCCACAAGGATTTAAAAATGCCCCCACCATCTTTGTGGAGGCCTTAGCCAAGGACTTAAAGGATCTCCAATTAAATGAAGGAATCTTACTCCAGTATGTGGATGATATACTTACTAAGCGCTAGTATAACTAAGGAAGCTTCAGACCGAAATACAGTCTTCACTTTAAACTTTTTGGCAGACCGGGGATATAAAATCTCCAAGGGAAAGGCACAAATTTCTCAACCAGCTGTAAAATGTCTAGGAATTGAGTTATCAAAAGGAGAAAGAAACTTGCCAGATCGAAGGGAAGCACCCACACCAGAAAGCAATTGAGAAGATTCTTAGGAATGGCTGGGTTTTGTTGTATTTGGATTCCTAACTTCGGACTTATAGTCAAACCTCTGTATGAGTCTCTCAAAAGAAATGCCAATGAGCCATTAAGCTGGACTGCGAAATGCCATGAGTCATTCCGTACCATCAAGGAGAAAATTTCAACAGCCCCAGCACTTGGTCTCCCAGACATTAGAAAGTTATTTGATCTTTTTGTGCATGAAAGACAGAGCATGAGTCTTGGAGTGCTAACTCAAAATTTAAATACTGCCAGAAGGCCAGTAGCTTACTTTTCCAGACAATTGGATGTTGTAACTCAAGGATGGCCAGTTTGCCTCCGGGCTGTGGCTGCAACCTGTGACCTTTTACAAGAAGCTGAAAATTTTACCCTGGGTTGTCCTACCACTGTGCACACCCCACATCGTGTGCAACTTTTACTTGAACCAAAGGGCCGATATTGGCTTACTTTGGGGAGACTGGGCAAATACCAGGCCATACTATTTGACAACCCAAAGGTAACATTAAAAGAAGTATCTGCTTTAAACCCAGCCACTCTGCTTCCCAGAAGAACCTGTTCACGATTGTATACGAAAAATTGAAGAAGAGTATTCTAGCAGACCTGACCTGACTGATCAGCCTTTAGAGAATCCAGATATGGAAATGTTTGCAGTCGGGAACAGCCTCATGGATCGTGGATTCCGAAAAGCTGGATATGCAGTGGCAACTCATCAGGAGGTCGTAGAAGCAGAAGCTCTCCCTCCAGGTATGTCTGTCCAGAAGGCAGAGCTCGTAGCCCTCAGGAGAGCCCTGCATCTTGGAGCTAAGAAAAAGGTAACCATTTATACTGCTTCTAAGTATGCCTTCTCTGTCATGCATGCACATGGGGCCATGTGGAAAAAGAGGTCAACTAACATCAGGAAAGAAAAAACTTAAACATGCAGAGGAGATACTGGCCTTATTAAACTCTGTTTTTAATGCCGGAAGAAGTAGCCATAGTACATTGCCCGCACCAAAAGACTGATAGCTGTATAGCTAAAGGAAATAATTTGGCTGAACACGTAGCAAAACAGGCGACCAGAGCCAAACACCGTAGCACTCATTCAAAGTGTGGACCTGTCCCTGTTTAAGCCTCAGTATTCAGAAATGGGTCTAGAGAGAGATGATGAATGGGGATTTCACACTGACTCTTGAGACATAGATGGTGATCAGTACCAAACAAACAAAGAAGGCTGGATATATAATGAACAGGGATTAGTGCTTATGCCCCAACATTTAATGGAAAGAATTATTACTCATCTACATCAAGGAACCCATTACGGGAAGGATGCAACCTATCATTGGCTACAAAAGTTTATTGTTAGTCCATAAATTCAAAGGACCATCCAAAAGGTAATACAAAATTGCCTGATTTGCACCAGAAACAATCCTAAAGCCGGGCCACCTCCAATATTCAAAGGGGTGCAAACCCGAGGGACAGAACCAAGAGATGCCTGGCAAATAGACTTTACTGTTATGCCAAGAGCCATTGGGACATTATAGATATTTGCTGGTATTTGTGGACACCTTCACAGGACGGGTCAAAGCTTTTCTGTGCTGGAGAGAGAGATCTTCCTAGGCAAAAAGGCCTTACTAAAAGAAATTAGCCCTCATTTTGGGTTGCCTCTTTCCATTCAAAGTGACAGTGGAGGAGCTTTCATAGCCAAGGTAACGCAAGGGGTATCTGGGGCCCTGGGACTACAATAGAAGTTACATGCTTCATGGAACCCTTATGACTGAAATGATGAATCATACCTTAAAAGAGACAATCACCGAAGTATGTCAAGAAACCAACTTCACTTGAGATAATGTCTTAACAGTTGTCCTGCTGAGGGTAAGAGTAGCCCCTAGAAGCAAGCGCCACTTGAGCCCTTATGAAATGTTAATGGGAGACCCTTCCTTAAGACTAAGTAGTATTGCTGTCTTGAAAGTGATCTCGTTGTAAAAGAATTAGATACTATAAAATGTGTACAGTCCCTTGGTGCTATCTTATTTTCTGTATATAAATATGCCTCTAGCCAATTAACATTTCCTGCAGACATTCCTGTGCACTGCATAAGCCCAGGGAATTGGGTCCTCCTCAAACCTGGAAAAATGACTGCCCTGAGGATCAACTGCAACCCAAGTGGATTGGAGCCTATGAAGTCCTTCTGGTTACACATTCTTCAGTAGAGCTAAAAGGAGTTAAACCTTGGATACACCCCTCCAGAGTAAAAATAGTACCCACTTCTAACCAGCACCCCCCTTGTCCCCTTTACAGTTCCCAAACAGGGCACGCTCTCCATGGACAGGAGGAAGTAGGAGGACCCAACCTTCCTAACACCAGAGGGGCCAGGAAACCCACTACTGATTTCTCGGCCCCTAATTACACTTAACTGAACTTAAGTTACTTTTCAAATCGAAACAGGACAGCTAAGTCTCCACCTGGTCAGGAAGAGAAGACGAGGCCATCTCGAAAGTAGACAGCTCCACCCAGAAGTCTGGACCAGGCTGATATAAATCCAAATTCAGTCACTAAGAATGTTAAAAATAACATGTTTTCACTGGTTCCCAAAGAATAAGGTCTGTTTTTGGAGGACTGTTAAAATTAGGAATCATAGTTCTGTGTATCATGGGGTTAATCTTTTTACTCACCAAATTTTTTACTTATTGTCTATCTCATATATTTAAAAAGGCCTCCCCCACTCACATGTTGATTGCCCAAGACTTAAGCTTTCAAAGTGGGACTCGTGAATATTTACAATCAAGTGCAAAAACAATTTCATTCCTCTTATAAAAATCTATGCCCCTTCTCAGCAGGAAGCAGCTAGAGCGGTCGTCACTCTATTTCCCTTAAGATTGAGGAATGTACAAAGTAAAAGGGGGGCACTAAAACAGCACATAAAACATTGACCTGCTTATCCTGGTTTTGTCTCCTTAAATAGGTTGTTGACTAATCAAACCTTGAGTTATTTTACAGAGACAGCACCCCCAATTGCAAGACAGGAACCCATGTCTCCAGGATGACCCCAGAACCAAGAATCTTCAGTCTGCAGAACTCAAACAATAGACATGTTGCCACTGGAGCCCTTTACCAAGCAAGAAGTTCTTCAATAAGAAAAATCCAGCTTCCAGCTGCCCAAATAGCTTGATTCCAATCAGCTTCTGACTGTCAACACTAACCAATAAGCTTGTGAAATTCTCCTAACTTACATTTTGCCCTGAACACTGGACAGGGAGACGGATTTGAGCCCTGCCTCCTGTCGGTTGACTCACAATAAAATGCTTTCTTTTCTCAAAAGCTGGTGCCATAGTATTTGCTTTTATGTGTGTTAGACAGTGAGCCCTTGCTTGGTAACAAAAGGATGAAAAATATCCGCTGATGCATAAAACATTTTAGTATTTCTATCTGGTAGAGTGAAAATGGTTACAGTATTTCCTGCTCATAAAGCAGTATTCCAAGCATCTATTAACACTAGTTTATATCCTCTAGCTTGAGGTGAAAACATTAGTTGTTTTATCAACATTAGTTGATAAAATTGCACCTGAGCTGGATGACCAGAACTGCTGAAGTTCTCCTGAGACTTTAATGACAGATACGTACATTAACTTCGAAAGTTACTTTATGTGTCTTCCTAAACAATGTTCTTTTTTTTTTTTTCTACAGTATAGAATTGGAGACCCTGGACTTTAAAGTTCAACTTTGGACACTTCCAACTTTTTTTTTTTTTTTTGCGGTACGCGGGCCTCTCACTGCTGTGGCCTCTCCCGTTGCGGAGCACAGGCTCTGGACACGCACGCTCAGCGGCCATGGCTCACGGGCCCAGCTGCTCCGCAGCATGTGGGATCTTCCTGGACCGGGGCACGAACCCTCATCCCCTGCATCGGCAGGCGGACTCTCAACCCCTGCGCCACCAGGGAAGCCCTGGACACTTCCAACTTTAACATGCTGTGTGATCTTATGGAAGTTGCTTAGGATTTCTGTGTCTCAGTTTCAGTTTCCCCAAGTGTTAAAAAAAGATAATAATAATAGCTCCTTCAAAGGTAGATTGTAAGGATTAAATGAGTTACTATGCTAAAAATCTTAGGAAAATGCTTAACCCATAGTAAGAGTTCTAAAAATTAGCTATTATCATTATGGAGGTGTCTTGCCTGCCTTAAGAAGACTTATAATTCTCACTTCTCTAGTTATCCTTTTTTCCCCAAAACACAAAAGCAGGAGGAAAAGCAAACACCTTGTGATTTTATTCTCACTGACATGTTCCTGTAGGCCTCTCAGTATTAAAACCATATCATTCAGTAGTGTTGCATTTGGCTACTATAATCAAGTTATCTGACTTAGAATGGGTTTTTTGAATGGGTTTCTTCTTGTGTTATTAGCATGCCATTAATCTTTCTTTTTTTTAAATAAATTTATTTTTGGCTGCGTTGGGTCTTCCTTGCTTCGTGCAGGCTCTCTCTGGTTGCGGCGAGCAGGGGCTACTCTTCATTTTGGTTCGCGGGCTTCTCATTGCAGTGGCTTCTCTTGTTGCGGAGCATGGGTTCTAGGCATGTGGGCTTCAATAGTTGTGGTGCACGTGCTCTAGAGTGCAGGCTCAGTTGTTGTGGTGCACGGGCTTAGTTGCTCCGCGGCATCTGGGATCTTCCTGGACCAGGGCTCGAACCCGTGTCCCCTGCTTTGGTAGGCGGATTATTAAGCACTGCACCACCAGGGAAGTCCACCATTAATCTTTCTAAAGTGACAATTTCCTGTTGAGAAATGTTGCCATTTGTATTCCTAATGATTATTATAAATTGCAGTCATGTATTAACTCTGACTAGTCTTTATTTAAAGTAACATGCTTACTAATTTTCTGGTTTCATGACTTCCTGTCTCTGGAATATCAGTCATCTCTGGGTCTGTCCTCAGTCCATTGTTTTTACCTAGATGCTCATGGTGTAAGCCACCCACCGTTGGTGACTCCCAAAGTTGATTTACGGCCCTGAATTGACCTGGTGTTTCCGATTCATATAGCTAGGCTTCTTACTGGCACTTCACATGGCTATTCCACTAGCAGCTCAAATACTCTATTCTAAAATATCACTAATACCGTTAACGGCCTGACCAACTTCAAAGATGAAAGATTTTGTCTTGGGGCTTCCCTGGTGGCGCAGTGGTTAAGAATTTGAGCCTGTTCCCCAGAGCTCGTGAACCATAACTACTGAGGCTGCATGCTACAACTACTGAAGCCCGCGTGCCTAGAGCCCATGCTCTGCAACAAGAGGAGCCACTGCAATGAGAAGCCCGTTGCACTGACCACGCTCACCGCAACTAGAGAAAGCCCGCACGCAGCAAGAAAGACCCAATGCAGCCAAAAATAAATAAATTAAAAAAAAAAGATTTTGTCTTGTTTACTCTCTGGAACTATATTTACTTTGAATACATCCTCCTGTGAACTCATTCTTTTAAGTAAATTATCCTAACTGAGCCTTGGCGGCAGAAAGGTGGATGAGACCATCATTCAGTCATCACCTACGTCTAGTTTTCCCTAATTGCAAGTCATGAAGTCGTTTTAGGCTTTGTAGTTGCAGTATGTTACCAGCAGAGGGAGACAGTTTCTTACAATTGTGTTACATTTGGCAATGAGCCTTACTTAACAAAGGAATTTGCTGGGCATTTTTTTTTAATTGTTTCTAATATTCTCCAATTATCTTTTTAAAAATTAATTAATTTATTTATTTTTGGCTCCGTTGGGTCTTCGTTGCTGCTCGTGGGCTTTCTCTAGCTATGGCAAGCGGGGTCTACTCTTCATTGTGATGTGCAGGCTTCTCACTGTGGTGGCTTCTCTTGGTGCGGAGCACGGGTTCTAGGCACGTGGGCTTCAGTAGCTGTGGCACGCGGGCTCAGTAGTTGTGGCTCGTGGGCTCTAGAGCACAGGCTCAGTAGTCGTGGCACACGGGCTTAGGTGCTCCACGGCATGTGGGATCTTCCCAGACCAGGGATTGAACCTGTGTCCCCTGCATTGGCAGGTGGACTCTTAACCACTTCACCACCAGGGAAGTCCCATGTTGGGCATTCTTAAGACTGAATCTACTAAGAGACCAGAAAGATAGATATCTTGGAGCTCGTTTGAGCTCGTTTCCTTTGCAAAGGAAATAGCTTTTCTTCCACCAAATGGATAATCAAGAGGCCAGTCCTAGTTAATCACATAGGCCTCCTGGGCAAGTCCCTTCCTCATCTGTAAAATGAGGGGATGGAACCAAGTAAGGTCTAAAATTGAGGAAGTGGTGGAAGTTTCTTCCTCCAGGGGGAGAGCCCCAAAAGTTGAGGCAGTGGCATAAACAGGCACTGGCAGAGACCCTAAAGCATGAGCTTCTCTTTCTTGTGAAATATGTTTGTTATACCCTTCATGTTTGGGGCTTAGTGATTTGCACTCAGAACTGCAGGTACCTTTGATCTATCACGTGAAACACTCTGGTATGTGATAGGAATATAAGAGCAAAGCCCATAGTGAGAAAACTTTCCATCTGGTTTCCAAGGTGGGGCTATGTAGACAGTTAAATAAATGGCAACCTACCAATGTTTAAAATGTACATGCCTGTTGAGACAGCAATTGCATTTCTAGGAAATTTCCCTGTAGATACATTGGCTCATATGTAAATAAAATTATGAGGCTATTCATTGCTGCTTTGTTTATAATCACAAAAGACTGGAAACAAATGTCCATCACTAGAGGATTCATTTTAAAACTGTATGGTCCAGCCATGCAAAGGAATAGAATGAATTGTTAACTTAGATGGTTCTAAATAAACTGACATTAAGTGATCTCGAAGAACTATAGTTAAGTTTAAACAAAAAGCAAGATCCAGAGCAGTGTGTATAGTTGGCTGCTGTTTGTAGGCTTATCTATTTATATGTGTATGTGTGTATTTGTATATGCATCTCTGGAAAGATACAAGGGACTTGTAACAGTGGTCACTTTGGTGGAGAGGCAAGGTTTACCAGGTAGCTGGGGGGACTGGTAGGATGGACTTAATATTATATTATTATATGTCCTTTTGTACCTTCTGAATTTTGTTTTATGTACATATATTATTTATTCTAAATAAGTAAGAGCATAAGAAATGAATTTCAGTAATGGATTGTGGGGATGGACTCTGGATGATACTTATGAGACAGACCATAGCCACTCCTCTCACCCTAGCCTTATATCTTGTCCCCGTACCTCCAGTCACGTCCCAATCTGTCTTCACACTGCAGAGAGATTGTTCTAAAACACCATTTCATCACATATCCTCCTTGCCCCCAAATCTCCATGACCTAGGAGGTAATACCCAGTTTTCTTCCTGATATTCCAGGCCGTATATAAACTGACCTCAATCTTATGTCCTCTTGTTTGTCAGAAGCAACATGGTGTAGAGTTCAATAGCAAAGGCTTTGAGGTGAGACCACCTGGGTTCAAACCCTACCCATGACCATGAGTTGAGTCACTTAATCCCTGGGTGCTTCAGGTTCATCGTCTGTAAAATAAGCTCGACAATGGCACTTACTTAGCAGTATTTGGTACATAATGAGAGTATACAATATACATCAACTGTGATTATTATTAAAGACTTTGCTTTAATAGTAATACTTTTGTGCTTATCACAATTGATAATTTTATATTGGCTTATTTATTTGTTTATTGTCTGTCTCTCCCAGTAAACTGTTGGGCTGTCCATGAGGGCAGGGACTTTGTTGTTTTATTTAAAAGTACATTGCTGTACATACCACATGGCTTGGCACATATTAGGTGCTCACTAAATATTTGGCTGAATGCCCTCTTAGTTTTCAAATTCCCAGTTCATTCATTCTTTCATTCATTTAACAAATATTTAGCGAGTCCCTACAGCGTGCCAGTCTCTATAATTATGTGATAAAGCATTGAACAAAACAGACAAAAATCCCTGCCGTCCTTGAGCTAGGAGATTCAGGGTGGAGTGGTTTCTGTATTTGAACCTGTTCTAACATAATCTAGCAGTTCCAAACCTAACTGGACATCAGAATCCCTGGGGAGCTTTAGAAGAAGTCTGAGTCAGTGTCTAAAGTGAGCACTGCAACCTGCATTTTTTTATACAAGTAAGATTTTATTTTTGTCACTGTTAAGAGTCTGAATTTTAAACAGATTCTTGGACTCATGACTCATATCAGTTGGCTCATTCAACTTTAGTACCTACCTCACCCCCAGTAGCTTTTCCAGAACTACTACCTTCATCATGAAACTCCATGAGTTTTCCCAATTCAAACTTGAACTTCTTCAGCATTTTTACTTTATTGTCTAT